GTTGTGTGATTATTTCTAGAACTTATACTTTCTTATAACAACATTTGAGACTCGATTAAGCCAAGAATAAAGGAAAAAAGAGATATGAAGCGGCATGAAATGTTGTTATTGAAAAACATAAGTTCTCTAAATAATCTCAACAACACGTTAATAATGCAATCTCTCTCTTTCTCTCTCTCTTTTTGATTCGATTAATTAACTTGATTTAATAGTGTCTCATAATGAGATGTCATCACACATTAGCACTACACCAAAAAAAGACTATAGAGGTAGAATATTTGAGGTGGTTAAGAAAATCGCCTTAAAATTTAATAGTTTTTAACTTACCTACGTTATATATATGTATATATATATGGGGCGGTTGATAAAAATCGCTCCACTCCACATTTTAAGCGACTGTGGCACCCACATTTCTTTTTTTCATCTTTCTATTTTAGGTTTTGAAAAAGAGAAAGATGCTTCATTATCTTTCTTTTAGGGTTTTTCTTATCCTCCTCCTCTTTTTTTCTCTATTTCTATTTAACTAAGCATGACCAAAATCCTTCATAAATAACGATTTTCTACCACACAACATTAGCTTAAGAAGTGTGTGATGCTAAATTGCTGGGCACCATAACGAACTCAACTAGATTGCTTGGGTACCATAGTAAAACTCAAGTAAGTATAAAAGAGGATTTTTTTTCTTCGTTAAGAGATTTTTGTTTTCAATTGGGGTTTTGAATTTTTTAGTTTTCTATTCAAGTTCTATATTTTAGGGCTTTGAAGAATTGGATATTTGAGTTTTGTCTAGGGTTTAAGACTTTTTTTTTTTTTGTGTTTTTTTACCATTTCTTTGAATTAGGTATTCGAATTTTATTTGATTCTTGCTAAAACCAATGTGAGTTTCTCTACTCTAGTTTAGCTATGTGTATCAATTTTTTCTTTCATGGACTTCTTTGCCTTTAATATTTTTTGCTATTGACAAGTTTACATTGTGTATATGAGAGACAAACTCCATGACGAGCTCGAGCTAGTTGAAGAGTCACATCATGTGATTCTTTCGATATTGTTGGAAGGTTTTATTTCTAACACTTTATGATCTTCATTTTCATTTTTAAACTATTAATTTACCTTAAACATGTTCAATTTTTATCTTTTTTGGTATGGTCATAAGGGCATTGAATGATTTTGTATGCTCTAGCTTTCTTTGATTTTGCTTTATGCAATTTTAGAATTCGGATGCACAAAATGAGTTTCACTATTTTTAGCTTTGAATATCTCGTGAGGTTTGATTAAGCGAGTAAAGAGACAACATCTTGTGGTATGATTTTGACAACAAAGGAATCAATCATGAATAACTACAAACATGGATTTTTAGGATTTACTGCAATATTTATCAAATCTTAAGCCAAGCTTATTACCGGTGTTACAATATTGGTAAGCTTTGAAATCTATGTTCTTAGCCTAATTTTGACTTCTAACAAAGCCATGCAATTAATTTTTTCTTTATTGATGCACCAACACTGATTTCCCTAGAGTTGTTAGTGTTGTTTAAAATAGATTTCTTAGTTCTCACACAACTAGGAGCACGAATTTCCTACATTTCAAGCCTCAAATTATGGATGGAATTCTTTCAAAGGTACTTTCTAGGGTTTATTGGTGTGATGGCCATAGGTCGGTGGCGGGATGCATACGTTCTTGTTAGTTTAGACAATTTACTTAACTTTTGGTCTTAGTTTTTTGTTGCATAGGTATATGGCTAGAGTTAAAAGTCTTCGAGAGATTAAGGTATGACGGAGGTGCCATTTCGTTGGAGAGGGATATACCACGAAGGAGAAAGATTTAATCGCTCGTATTGCAATAAGTTAGAGCTCATTTTTTATTTCAATCCAGGATTTACTATACTTTAAACGAGTTTGAGATTTTTAGACATGTCAATATTAAGTACCTACTCTTGAGTGATCTAAAATTCGGTCATAAGAATAAATGATGGCTCTACTCTAAGGATATAGTTCGCTTTTATTGAAACGGAATTAAACTCTAAGAAATGACTTCTCTAGTTGTCAATTTCATTTGCTTACGCTTATTAATTGTTCTTTAATAAGGTTACAATAAGAATTAAATTGATGCTTATTACTTGGATACTTTGGGCAGGAAAATCATTGGTGCTTACTCGGTATATTAAAGATCATGAAGCTGAATTTGAAAATCTAAATACAAATGATGGGTTTAAGTTCTCATCTCCTCAAGATGCTAGGGGTCATGACACTCGGACATCATTTATTGCGAGTTGGTAGTCTATTAGAAAATACAAGTTTTATGGGACTAGCTCAACGATTGGAAAATGCAAGCTTTATGGGACTAGCTCAACGATTGGGAAGATGGGGTGCCCCATTAGCTTGGTCGCCTGATTGTCTACAAAGTTTATTAGGATACTAGTGGTTGCGTTGAGGCGGATCTTTTTGCTGCATTTGATGATGCAATCTTGTATGAAATAGCTAGGTTTAGAAAAGTGGGTTTTTTTAGTTCTCTTGATCATGTTTGGAAAAAAATAAAGAGGCTAATTGTTCCAAATTTTTTTAATAAAAGTGTGAGGGTTGCTTTTTATGAACATTAGCTACTTATTTTGAGATGTATTAGGAACTTTATTTAGCTATTTTGAATAAGTGTTCAATAACTTAAGTTTAATTTTTTATTTACATTCAACAATATGTAATTTTTTTTTGTTTTAATTTTTTTTTAGTTAATTATTAAATTTGGAACTTAAATAAAACTAATTGACATATTAGAGGTGGTAACACAACCTGTCTTGATAAATTCCAAAGTTAGAGGCGGTTTTACCCCTCCTAAATAATTTATTTTAAAATATAAAAATTCTCGAGAACTTAAAAGTGATTACTAATCGTATATATGCCATATTAAAAAATAAAACAGGACATAATCAATATTTTAGAGGGAGTTTTAATCGTCTAAAAAAATTATTTATGAACGGTTGTAACTACCTCTAAATTCCCTAGTAGTTGAAAAAACCGCTTATACGGCTTTGAGATGGCAATATTGCAAGCATTTTTGAGATGGTTGGAAAAACCGTTGCTAGACTCTCGTAAAGATGGTTATAACTCGCCTTTGTAAGATTACAAAAAAAAAAAAACTATATGCAATACCTTATTTTAGTGTAGTATAGGATGCCATGATATCCGTATTAACTATATTATTATATTTTTAAAAATTTATTTTATTTCAAAAAAAAATTCAAACAACGTTGTTTAAACATTTAAGTTAACAATAAATGCTTTGAGCATTAAAAATAATAGAAGATGGATAATATTTGCTTGAAAAATAATAATTTAGGGTCTAAATAATCCAAATTAATCGTAAAGACCTTAAATTGCTACTACTCCAATAGTTTTGAGATAATTTTTTTCATTAAATAAAAAAAATAGAATGCTTAAATAATGTCGTTTAAGAATTTAAGTAATTAACAACATTGATCGTCAAAGATAATAGAAAAAGAATAATTTTTGTAAAAAATAATAGTTTTGAGTTGAAATAACATAAATTAATGATAAAAAAAAATCTTAAATTACCATAATGCAACTGATAAGAAGTAACATTTTTTACCATTAAGCATTCAAGACATAAAAGACGTATATAAAACCCCTCGAAGGGAATAAATTTTTTGTATCAAACCACCACATCCATTTCATAAATAATAATAATTAAAACTTAAAAAAAAGAGAACGATATTTAAAAGTATTCTAGATCTGAAGACTCCCATCTTTTCACATTAGATCCAAACAACTCCTAACAACCACAAAGAGAGCAAAAACAATAAAAATCTCACCTAAAGTAATCAATCATAATTAATCAACTAACTCTAAAGCATATATATATTAGAAAAATCTGTTCCATCCTTTTCCCTCTGCGTTAATCATTGGTGATTAGCAAGCACCACATGCAACAGAACAGTGCAACTGTTCTTTGCCAACAGAAAGCCACAACCACCTTCCTCTGTACACAAAGAAACAGCATAGAAATGGTACTAGTACTCCACCCTTCTTATTTTACTCTCCTCTAATATCAATTAAACCATAAAATACACAATGTTCTTTTTTTACCACAATAAATCTCTTTTGAGCTGAGTCTCATTGAATAGATGGCAGGCACTGTCTACTTTGACGTTTAAGGCCCGGCATTCCCATTCCTCCGTCTTCAACGGAGCTCCAGCCGGAGATTATTGTAGCAATAATAATAAAAATAATCATAAATATATGCTAATGCTTAAAGTTGCCCGTCCATATACGCTTTTATGTCATGGACTTATTTTTTTAGCATTAGTTTTTGTATTTTTGTATGTTGAGATTAAGTTTTTATGCTTTTTGTTCGATTAAAGGCCGACTGTCTACGTTGGAATTATAAAAAATTTATGAAAATTTTTCTTTGAACCCTATGGTTTGAACTCTTTTAACTTTCAGTCCAACCAATCCTAACATGTTTTACCAACACTGCAGTAACCTTGAAATCATAAGGTTATGAATAATCAAAACTTAAACAAAAAGGTCAAACAGACATTTCATTTCTTTATCTTTCTTGCTTCCACTCCACTTTCCTCAACGCTCTCTCTCTCTCTCTCTCTGCTTTTTTGAGCTCATACGCACCACGCTCTTTCTCCTTGTCCTTTTTTTTTTCTTTTTTGTTTTCCTATTCGTGAATTGAGTGACCTTCAAGAACTCTTCTCATCATCATTACATGTCCTTTTAACTCCAATCTACTTTCACCTTTGCTTCCTTATATGTCCTAAAGCAAAGCAGCACACCTCCCTCAAGACAGATTCTCCTTTTTCGTCAGGCAAATTAATTTCCACTCCACTATAAGTTTTCTTTCTTGATTCTTAGTCTTGACTCCAATTTTTCATCTGGGTCCTCAAAACTTTTTTGGATTCGCTTCCGTTTTTTCTCTCTTGATATCAAGATAATCGTTTGTTTCTTTCCTTTCCTCTCATGGAAAAAGATAAGTTGTTTATGAGTGATGGAGCTAACACAACCGCACCCATTTGGAATTCTTGCAGTTTTGGAATGGAAATGCAAACCAATGAGCTGAATTGCGGCCCTGAGCAACTTGCCAATTGCTTTCTCAATCCCAATTGGGACAACTCATTGGATCAGAGCGATCCCTTTGAGTCTGCTTTGAGCTCCATTGTCTCATCTCCTGTAGCATCCAGTGCCAATGCCAACGCCATTTCTAATGCTGGCGTTGGTGATGACAGTTTTATGATCAGAGAACTTATTGGCAGACTAGGAAACATTTGCAATTCTGGAGAGATTTCGCCACAATCTTATGTTAACAACAGTAACAATAGCACTAACACTTCTTGTTATAATACCCCATTGAATTCTCCTCCAAAGCTGAAACTTTCAACGATGGATTCACAGATGAGAGGAAATCTGCCAATTCTTGGAAACAGCTTAGTAAACCATCCAAGTTTAGCACCATTTCCGGCTGATTTTGTAGAGAGGGCTGCACGATTTTCCTGCTTTGGTAGCAACAATCTTGGAGGCTTAGATGAACAATTCGGAGTGAATGAATCTGAATTGATTAATAGGTTGATGCCACGAGTGGAACCTGGTAAGCTCTCGAGAATTTCGAGTAACCATTCAATGAAAGTCACTGGATCGCAACCAAATGTTCAAGAAAGCAATAAGAGCTCACCCCAGGATGGGAATTTGAATTCTGATAAGAAATTCGGTAGGTTGTCAAGGCCTTCAACACCAGAGAATGGAGATTCCAGGGAGGAATCTTCAGTTTCTGAGCAGATCCCAGGTGGGGAATTGAGCATGAAATCCCAGAAAGATGCCAATGCCAGGAAAAGAAAATCAATTCCCAGAGGAAAAGCCAAAGAAACTCCCTCTTCATCTCCCTCTGCTTCTGATGTCAAGGTAATGCACGCAATTTTGTTTCTTTTCACAAACGTTTGTCGAAATTTTCTTTGAGAAACGAATGATTGAGCTTCATTTCAGGTTGCAGCAGAGAATGATGAATCGAGAGCAAAAAGAAGCAAATCAGCTGAATCTAATGGCAGTGACAAGGATACAGCAAAGACCAAGGAAGAAGAAAATGGAAATCAGAAACAGAATAAAGATAATTCAAAGCTACCAGAGCCACCAAAGGACTATATCCATGTCAGAGCCAGAAGGGGTCAGGCTACAGATAGTCACAGTCTTGCTGAAAGGGTATGGATTGATTCAACTTTGTGCTCTTATCTAATTTTGGACACTGATAGATTTGTATTGACACATCCTTTTACTTTTTTGCCTTTCTTGAATGGCCAGGTTAGAAGAGAGAAAATCAGTGAAAGAATGAAGTTCCTTCAGGATCTTGTTCCCGGGTGCAATAAGGTGTTCATACTATGCTAAATTTGTGGTTTTTTTTATCAAATTTTTTAAAAGCACTTTCTTGGAATGAAACTATAGAAGTTAGATTGAGTGCAATTTTTCTAAAATTTGGCTTGGATGTTGTCGATTTGCAGGTTACCGGGAAAGCAGTGATGCTTGATGAGATTATAAACTATGTGCAGTCATTGCAGCGCCAGGTTGAGGTAATATTCAAATCTGCAGAAGTCCCTCAATTTTTTTTAATGTGGGCTTGATTAATTTCTGATTGGATTTTGTCATTTGTTGATGTATGCTATTTACAGTTTCTGTCAATGAAGTTGTCGACTGTGAATCCGAGGATGGAAATTAACATGGAAACTTTGTTGTCCAAGGATGTAAGTTGGGCTTTTAACGTGTTCTATTGTTCCGAGTCTGTAACAGCCAGTTTGAATTTTCATGTCTAATGATCACTGCAATCAATGCTCATTGCAGATTTTCCAATCTCGTGGATCTATGCAACCTGGTCATTGTCCATTAGATTCGTCTGCACCGGTATTCCCTTATGGTTACCAATCTCAGCAAGGGTTAGCCCTACAAAATGGCATGTCCGGTAATGCAGAAACCCATTTCTCTATGAACTCATTAAGTGCTGCATTGCGGCGAAGCCCAAGTATGCAGCTGCCTCCCCTTGATGGTTTCGGTGATGCTGCTGCTCATCAGGTAATTGAAAAGGAAACCGTGCTAATAATCCCCATTCATTTTGGATAGCCTACTCTTGCATATTCTCATCACGGCTAGAATTTTATTTTTCAGGCCTCAACAATGTGGGAAGACGACCTTCAAAGTGTTGTGCAGATGGGATTTGGCCAGAATCATCAGCAGAGCTTTCAAGGTAAGCAGAAAATTCAAGAAAACTCCGGTCAAGTCATGAGTGTAAATTTCGGTAGCTTCATAGTTAACCATAAATTGTTTGATGCAGGCACAGTGCCATCAACTCAGATGAAAATTGAGCTATAATTAACCAAGAAACAGTCTTTGATCCTCTTGAGGCCCCCCAAGAGAGAGAGGCCTGCCTCATTATGTACAGCCAGGTTCTCTTTAGCATGGAGAAAGACAACATTTTCACCATTTATATATATTTTTTTCAGTGATTTAAGCAACTTATTCTTTGGAGAATTCTTATGTAGAACTCCTTACATTGTAAAATCTAGAACTAATTGCAGTCAGTGATGCTATCCAACTATTCATTACATTCAATGTGTAACAATTTAAGGAAAAAGCGTGTTGGAGCATTGAGGGTTCTTTTGTAATCTTCTTCTTCTTTTTTTGTTTCTCTCTCTCTCCAACTTTGTGTATTATCTACATTACCATTGATAAGTATTATCAAATGTTCATTGAGTTGACACAAACTCAATTATCTTTTCTTATTTCTCTCTTTCTTATTTAATATTATTGTTATTACTAACAGACTAGAGATAACTGCAAGAAGGGCAACCGTTAAGATCCAACATTTAAAGAGTTAATTATAACTCAGTCCTTATAGTTTAACAAAATTAATTAGTTACCTTTTGTAGTTTCAAAAATTATCATTTAAATCTGTAAAAAAACTAATTAATTACCTTTCGTCAATTTCATGTTCTTTTTCATTTAAAAAAAATGACAGAAAAGTAGGCGGTGAGAGATAGGAAAAATTTTGAGTAAGGAAATGTATCTTTACAAGAAAAAAATACTAAACTTGAGAATGATTAATGTTAGTCAAATGACTATTTAATTATTTTTAATACTACAGGGACTAATTAATTTGTTTCATTAAACTACAAGGACGGATCTGTAATTAACTCCTATTTGAAGCAGCTGGAATATACCCTAAACTTATAGCGCTTTTTCCCTCAACATCCTCAGCAACCAAACAAAAGCTTGAAACAGTTTGATGATAAAGACGCTGTAACATTGCTTTCAAATTTAGCTGGAAGAAATTAGGATGGGTGGGGTCCGGTAAGGGGATGATATTATGCAACCTGAAATCGCGTAACTTAAGGGAAAATAGATTCTTACTTGTGACCAGCTGTTTAGCAGGGACAAATGCTGTCTCAAGTCCAATTGATGATTAAGAGTGATTTCCTTTCTTTTTCGAACTGGAATCCAATGTCATTTTGGAATTCCCTGTGCACCAAATTGACGGAAAACTTTAATGTTTTTCTCTTGAGTAATACAAAATTCACTTGAAGTGTCAAATATTAAGATTTAACTGTCATCGGCATTGTATCATACATTCTAGACTCGTATTTAATTATTATTATGGTATGGGAAAAAACGCTAGATGGAATGACTTCTTGAATTAAGTGATTGATAAGAATGTGTTTAGTAATGCATTTGTACTGTGTTTAAAAATACTTTTTAAAGTATGTTTGTATTGAAAAATATTTATTTGCCATATTTTTAAATGTTTAAGTTAGATATGTTGATATTGAAAGTATTAAAAAACAAATAAAAAAACATCAATTTTCAAAAGATACCGTAATACCTATTAAGTGTACAAATAAATTATTGTATAATTTATATTAAAATATATAAAAGAATCACATCATATCTATATTCATATCCAAGTTTAAGGTACCTTCCCATGATATTAATTAAAAATAAATACGACACATTAAGGAATAATTATTGATAGCTTTGGAAGATGAAACTTTGGACTTGATGATTCTTCTCCAGTTCTTTTGGTTGAACTATTCTCTAGCATTGCTGCCTGTTAAAGACTCATAATACAATAAAGCAATAATAAGCAAACCTGTGCCGTAAGATAAATAAGAAAGATATTTGAATTTGTTTAACGAGGTTCACCCAGCAATGACTACATCTCCGAATTCATTGAATTTCTAAAATACAAATGGATACTACTTTTGTATTTAAGAATCTCACACACTCTCTCACAACTCTCTTGTGTTTCTCCCTTACAAATTCAAAGCGAAAAAAAAAAAAAAAAGTCAGTATGTTTTTCTTTCTCTTTCTCTCTCTATAAAGAATACCAATATTTTTGTTCTTTTTGGATTCTACCACCCCAGCTTATCAAACTAATCCTGACCCTATTTCTATTTATACTACATCTCATAGCTTATCTTAAAAATAAAAGGAGATCACCTTGAAAGTTCTCATTTAGCTTAGTATCTCACTAAAAAATTATCTCATGTGAATGATATGTGTTCACACTCTAACAAATCTTCCACTTGAAGACATCATTCATATAAATACGCTCAATATCGTTCTCGGAAAGATTTAGTATTGCTTTGTGCCTCTACAATTTTCTTCTTAGATTCCTTTAGAAACTCCAATGGTAATAGTATAAAAAAACATGCTTGTTTCTATCTACCACCTTACTAAACATGTCACTTGGATTCTTTTTGTTATCAATCTTGTCTAACTTCAATTCATTATCTTTCAATACCTTTTGGATGAATGATAACATCTTTTAATATGTTTTGTCTTTGAGTAAAAAAGTTGCATTCTTTGCTAAATGAACCGCACACTAACAATCACACCACATAGTACTCACAGGTTGTTTTTGACATAATTCCTCCATAAAATCTTGTAATCACATGATTTCTTTAAAGGTTTTTGTGATTACCACATACTCTGCTTTTGTGGTTGATAAGGCTACAACCTTCTATAATTGAGACATCCAACTTACTCGTTATTACTTGCCATTGTCAATACATATCTAATGGTTCTTCTACAATTCTCCCTATCTCTTGAATGATATACATCCACATATATCCGTATCTCTAGAGAATTATCCTTAAAATAAAGAGAGTAATTAGATGTGTCCGTTAGATATTGTAAAATCCATTTAACTACATTCCAATGCTTTTTACTTGAATTTTGAATACATCAATTAAGAACTCCCATTGTTTATGCAATGTTTGGTCTTGTACTTACCATAGCATGCATTAAACTTCAAACAATTGATGCATACAGAATTTCCATCATCTCATTCATCTCGATTTGAGTGCTTAGACGTAAGTCATTTAAAAGTTTAAAGTGAACTACAAGGAGGTTTGTAACATATTTTGTATTTTCCATGTTGAATCATTTTAGTACCTTATTCATATAATCTTCTTGAGATAGCTAGAGCCTCTTATTTTTTTGATCTTTTTTTATGGTCATGCCTAGAATTTTATTGGCCTTTCCCAAGTCCTTTATAGAGAACTATAATGATAACATCTTCTTTACCTCTACAATTCTCTTTATATTTGAACTTACCACTACCATATCATCCATATATAATGAGACATATGCAATATCATCATTCTTATATTTATAAAAACAAACACGGTGATCCACTTCACAACGAGTAAAACATTTTAACTCCATGACATCATCAAACTTTAGATACCATTATCGCAGATGATTGCTTCGATCCATACATGATATTTTTCAACCAATAAACCATGTGCTTCTTGCTTTTCTTTACAAAACCTTCGGTTGCACTATGTATAATTTTTTTCTAGTTCTCCATAAAGAAAGCCTATCTTCATATCTAATTATTCTAGATAAAGGTCTTTCATTACAACAATGCTTAACAATACTCGATGGACGTCATTTTTACAACCGGTGTAAAAGTGAGTTCATCTCATCCTTCATTGCAAACCCCCTACTTCGCTTGAAAGATGTCCTTTTGTGCCCTATCATATGTTTTTGGCTTTATTGAATCTGTATATAGGACATGACTTAAAACAACATTTATTGAAGGATCAACTATTGCTTTTGGTTTTCTCATACATATTGATCTTCTTAATGTAGCAATAGTTTATTCATTAATTTGTTTAAGACAACGGTGTTCCTCTTGAATTATCTGTTCACTTGTACCGGACTCATCATAAATCTCCTATTCAAACTCACCTTGATTTGCCGAACATGTATTGACTCGTGATTTATATCCAACTCTATATATTACGGTTTGGTTATCTTCTTTGGCACTTTCTTGTGATCCTTATACATATTTTCTTCATGCAACACCATGTTCCCACTCCTAATGACTTTGTTATTCTCATAATCCCAAAGTCCATAGCCATATTCATTTCCACCATATCCGATGAAAACACACTTTTGAGACTTAGCATCAAGCTTTTTTTGGTCTTCTTTATCAATCAAAATACATGATATTCAACCAAATACTTTCAAGCAAGAGTAGTTAACTTTTTTATCTAACCATTTTTCTTCTAGTGTTCCTCTATCTAGTACATTAGACGAACTTCGATTGATCAAATACGTAACGGTGTCAACTATCATAGCCTAGTGGAAAATGGGAAATCCGGTAAGTAGCCTCATGAATCTTGCCTTCTTAAGCATGGTTTGGTTCATCCTTTTTGCTACCCCGTTCTCCTATGGAGTTCTTGGAATAGTTTTTATTCCACGAATTCCTCTCGACTCAAGAATTCACTAAATTTTTTACTTGTATACTTACCTCGATTATCGGATTTTAAAGCTTTAATTTGATGAATTATTTAGTTCTCAACCATGGTTTTCCACATCTTGAATATTCTAAACACTTCAAATTTCTCATGTAAAGCATAGGCTGAAGTCTTTCTTGTTGCATCATCAATAAAGATAACAAAGTAATTTTTACCACCATAAGAAAGTTCTTGTCTTGGACACCATACATCGGTGTGTACCAGCTCTAGTTTCTCGCTCTTCTTTTATCTTCCTCCCAATTAAAAATTGAAAACCTTTTGTTTCCTATAAATACATCTTTCATAAAAATCCAACTCAACTCCCTTAAGTCCTAGAAGTTGCTCCCTTGAATGCTACATCATTAGACCTTTCTCTCCAAGGTGCCTCGGTTTTTAATGCCATAATATAGAAGTACTTGCATGTTGTAATTGTAGTTGTAACCATAATACTAATTATCTTCCTTAAGAATGTAAAATGTACCTGTACATTTTTCCTTTGCTATCACTCTTTCTCTACAAGTTATCTTCCATTCTCTTTGGCCAAATGTTGTCACAAAGCCTTTTTTA